CCGTCCAAGAAAAAGACAATAAAGTTCAGTTTCTTTTTAGAGTAAATTAACTTTAAAAAAACAAGGATCCTAGAGATTTGAACTCTAGTCGTTGATATTTGATAATGATGACGAAAGTCATTCAACCACGGATCCTTGAAACGTTTATAATTGAAAATTGAATATCATCTATCTCTAGTTCGATTTTGAGTAGTTCAATCTGTTTCAAAAAAGTGTATAGTTTCTTAGTTAAATTACTCGATCCAACCTCAGTGACGATCGAAGACGAGTAAAATGAGTTATTATATGAATCCAGTTCACTTTCTTTTGAATTTTTAACTTCTGCAGGTCTGTGTGTTTGACATCCAGACCAAAATGAAATGAGACATAAGATTAGTACGATAAATAATTGAATAAAAGTCATCAGTATATAAGCCGAGCCAAACGCGACATGTAAATGTTCACGAATTATTGTTATAAAACTGAGCTGAATAAACATCAATGATAAAAATGATATCACACACGATACAGATACATGACAAGTAAAGCTTGATTGATGCCCTCTCATCGTATCCAAATAATTTGTTACAAATCGATTACATATTACTGGAACAGGAACTGACATTAATAGACAGAACCAAACGAAAATAAGAAACGATAGTGAATGCGATGTACACGGTTCACAACAACGAAGTGTTTAAAACCGTTTTCGACACTTAAAACATAGAGTACTTTGGCACAGTGACTGTCTTTTTCGTCTCATTTGTGCTATTTCTCACTCGTTTTTCATTGGGAAAATTTGCTATTGAACATGATGATAGACCTAACATGTCTCTACAGTCTGATGCAAAAGTCTTTTCAAAATATCCAGCAGTTTCTGACTACGATCCAAAATGCGAACAGCTGCTTCGAAGTGTGTCTCTTTACCCCAAATGAGGTAAAAAGAGACAGTCCATCCAAATACATGGAGTTTTGAATATACCATTGCCTGTTAATTAATGCTTAGAGATAATTAGATCTTAAATACCCCATTTTGTAGGCTAGACTTTTCTCCCTCTACCATTTGATTTTGAGCTCATTATCGTTTAAACCCATTAAGCTGGTTAAGATACAACTAACTGTGTGCGAACCAGCGGCGGCGGACCCATTAGGCCAGGGGAGGCCTAAGCCTTCCCTAGAAAAGAAAGAGGAAGGCTTGGGGAGGCTCAAATATTTTAGAAAATATCATAAATCTCATCTTTAGTTTACATATGGTGAGCAAAAAAGATTTTGAGCCTCCCCTAGACTGAAATCGTTCCGCCGCCACTGGTGCGAACCTTTCGTTTTTGAATATATATGCATTGAGGTAAAAAGAGATACTCCGTTGCAATACATGGGATTTTCAGAGACAAACTTCTATCGTCTCTCAGAAGTCGATTATGATATTATATCAGATGCTAAAGTTAATTAGTACACCGAACTCTATCAGATACGTCAAATGTAGCTCGTTATCCTAGTGGATAAGATTTCATATTGGTTTCATAATATATGCGATACGGATTTGAATATATTTTGTGGACTAAATTAAACTAAAATTAATTGTAATAACTACGCCTAAGGAATTTCCATAAAGTGCTCATCAATGTAATACATCAGAACCTCCTCTGTTAGACAAAAAAACAATCATTTGAAACTAAACTATTTTTCCATGCATCAAGAGTAAAATGTCTAATTTTTCTCATGCATTGCTTAGTTGCCGTAGTTTTGTACATAATAGCAGGTTTCACTAGCTAAACATACTACTGTAGCTTTTTACAATGCCATGAACCTATATTTAACAGACTAATAGACAATATTCAAAAGGTGATCGTCGAAATGTTCTCAATCGCATTAATGACAAAACATCTATCCGTGAAATTGCTCTTCATAGTCATATACCATTGTCAATGCTTTAACGTCGTTTCCTCGAATATATAGAACGGTTTGATTGTAGTTTACCGCCGAAGAAGAGAACGACTCCATTAACCCTGAAATGTCTACCCTATAAGATGCACAAATCCCACTGGTTCCATCTGCGCATATAAACACAACAGTTAGATTTCATTCTTCCAACTTATACTTTAGAGAATTATAAGAGGATATACTACTAATACTATCTAATTTCCTTCATTCATAGCGCAGCAATAATGATGTTTAAACATCTCTTAATCATCTAATGGCGTTTCAAGGCTAATGCAGCCGTTAAATGAACCTAATAGAGATTAAAATTTGTTAAATATACGCCTGTAATATTTCAACTTGTGAATTACTGATAAATATCACACTGTATATGAGACTTTAGAGGCACACACAACGAATAATTTACTTTTATCTTGGCGAGTTATCAAAACTTTCAACTGATTGCTTTTGTGTCTAATAAAGAAGATTCTGATGTATTACATTGATAGAGCACTTTATGGAAGTTCCTTAGATGTAGTTATTACAATTAATTTTAAATTTAATTTAGTTCACCAAATATATTCAAATTCGTATCTCATAACGGGTGTCCCATAAAGAATGGAACGTTTTTGTTTTCGCTATAACTCCGTCAGTTTTTATTCGAGCGAACCAAATTTTTTTTAAACGAATTACCGTAAAAAACACTACAAAAAACTGTTCTTAAATCAATGCAAATAGTCTCCGTTTTTTTTGAAAGACGATACAATCGGTTTGTCCAAGATTCACAATTTTCTAGCACAACTTCTGTTCTAATTCTTGTTACTGCTCGTTTCAGCTCTTCAATTAAAGTCTTTCTTGATTGTACTTTGTCCCAGTTCATCTGCTTAACGAATTCGTCCCAAATTGAATAGTCTAGAGGATTCAAATCCGGTGAATTTGAAGGGCAATGGTCTTTGTCAATAACAGACGGAAAATTTGCTTTGCACCATTCTTGTGACAAATGATGAATGTGTAACTTGGCACCGTCTTGTTGATATGCCCAATCACCTCCAAACATCTTTGTGCCATATTAGAGAGCGATCGGCAGGACTTCATGAATGTATCTTTGATGATCAATTGTTCCATTGTCAAGAATCACCAAGGGAGTTACACCTTTCGAACATGCACCGAGCCATACCATAAATTTCTGTGGAAATTGACTTTTTTGTTTTATGCCACTGTTTTTATCGGCTTCAGCACGGTCCACTGCCCATACACGTTGATTCTGAGCATTGTACATGCCATTCAAATCGAATTGTTTCTCGTTGGAGAAAAGAATTCTCAATGTTTGTTCTTTGTTGAAATTGTTACTAACTCAATTTGCAAATTTGATTCTTTGACTTTATGTAAATCTGTCATTGGTGGTTCAATTCTTAATTTGTACGCACGTAACCCTAGATCAGTTTGGAGAATGCGACAGACACTTGTTCTTGAAATATCAAGTTCATTTTTTGCTAATTTTCTAATTGACACTTTTTTCTTGCGTCTCAAACGCTTTTGAACCATGGTTTTTGTACGAATCACTCTTGTATGATCTTGTGAATGTGTCAACTGGATAGAGCCTGTCTTGTTGATCATAGTACACCACCTGAAAACTGTTCCTCGACCGATGCCACCTTTCAAATCACGATAAATCTTTGTCGGCGTATCGCCATTTTGATGCTTAGAAAGTACTAAATTTTGAAAATCTTTACTTTTCATTATCTAGAAAGTAAACAAAAAAAACCTAAAAAGTAAGCAAACACATAATCTTGTAGAGAATTGAATGGCGAATCTTTTTAAAAAATTTGATCCGATCGAATAAAAACTGACGGAGTTATAGCGAAAACAAAAAGTCCCATTCTTTATGGGACACCTGTTATATTGTAATAGTCCCACGTATTTCCCTTTCTTCTTTCCTTTCTAATTCGACCTTTACCGTTCACAGTAGAAGTGGTTAAACCCCCCCTGTGGCGCTCGTTAGGCCCTTTCTAACAGCTTCACAAAACAACCTCCAGATCAGTTTTCCCAAACAGTAACAATTATTGTTTTCACAACAATTAATATTATTTACAAAAACAAATCTACG